TGTGTGTGTGTGTGTGTATGTGTGTATGTATATATGTATATGACTAAATATAGTCCTAATTCTGCTCATATGCGTACTAATTGAAAATGTAATTCTATTGTAAGTAATGTTGAATTAGTGAATAAAATAGAAAAGTATTGTAAATTAAGTATCCCATTGTATTTCAAGGGATGTCAACCTAGAATTTGAATCAATTACTGTAAGATTAAGATTTCAACAATCTTCATCATATCAAACCTGGTGGCGCACTGCGTTTCTCTACGTTATCACGATGTACATTGAACCAAGTGCAACAATAATACAGTATAGGAAGTGTATTTAGAGTTTATCTATTTACATTATAAACCTATGTACGTCTATGCCAGATTAACAGCCATTGTAAAGTTCTTTAAATCAACAGACAGAAAGATTCACCTAATCTGTTTGATAAATTAGAACTGGGAACATATCACAATCTCTCTGAGAGGTTTATTCGACTTTATACTGTTTTGTTTACCAATTCAGCCTAGATGTGTATAAGAGACAGATATATATATAAATAATAATATATAATATATAATATATGTAATGCATTACATGCACTTGACAAAGGTTAATAACTGAAAAAAAGTTTGCTCATTTGACTAAATAAAAATAAAATGCCCCGAAGAGGTATCCCCGACAAGAGCAAAGTGGACGTGGTCGATCGTCGCTTAAAATTTTTCAAAGTGGTCAGTGGCGAAGCCTCCGAAAATTTTGAAAATTTAGGGGTTCAAAAGCTTATTTAATATATAATAATATGTAGAAAATACATGTTTTTTCCCCCCGACAAATTGTGGTTTTTCGCCCAGACGGGGGCAGTGGGCTTCTATCTATTAAACTAATTGCACACTGTAATATAATTTCTATTGAAATTATACAATATGCTGACATCTCAATAGTAATTAAACAATTGTATTCTTTCTGAATGTGATAATTAAGATTGTATAAAAATATTTTTGGGATTTTATTTTCGTCTGCAATTAACGGCAACGGTAAAAACAAACAGCAGCAAAGGTCATGATCGCCTTGCATTGCAGCATTTAGTTGAGGTCAGCATTCGTCAATGATTGCTAAGAAATAAATTTATGAAAGGCTAAAAAATATAACTTAATCTTAATTATTTAAAATCAATGTGTTACTTATAATTTGTGGTTGATACGTGGTGGTGTGCAGTGGATGCGCCTTTTTGTGAGACCGATGAACCACTAATAATTTCGTTATTTCCCGGGTCAGAATTGCTAGTTGTAGTAGTGGCGTTTGTTTCAACGGTATATAAAATATTTTATTGTATACAAACAATCTCCTCAAAACGCCACTCCTCAAACGTTTTGCTAAAGGCCGCCGTCTAGCGACCTAGAATATACCGGCAAACTATTTTAGGAACGGGAATTTCCTGGGAGGCTTTGTTCATTATCAATAAATTGCATGAGTTTCAGTTGTTCTCGTTTGTTATACCTCTGTTCATCATACTTCCTGGTTGTGTTCTCGGCTACTTAACGTATGTATTGTTTTATTATGGAGTTATAAGCTCTATGGTTTTATATCTCTTAATAATCTACAGAAAACCGTATATTTTTGAATAGGCCTACGTTCTATATGCTATCGGAAGAATGTGGGCTCTACTTAAGTTTTGTGTATAGGTACTTCTCTTTCGAACCATTGGTAAGTAACCAACCATACTAATCGACCGTGCATAACAAGCCGAATGAGAAGGATTTCCTCTGTATAGAATCTCGCACTTTTATTTCCTCATAAAAACATCGTGGGTCTTTATTTTCAGGTAGAAGTTATGATCTTTTTTATTCATAGGATAAGTTAAGTTGCAAAAACATAGGCCTGCATGAGAGATATAAGCGATGTTGGGTGAAAGAGACGAAAAAGAATATAGCTAGCCAGTAGAACTATATA